CACAAGGTTTTCAGCAGAACAAACTTTCAATATTCGCTTACGTTCTTTGAATTTATTGTTTGATTAAGCCGTTCTTGACCTTGGTTATTTAAATTAAATATGCGGGCGAAGTTAGAAAACAAAAGATTTCAATAAAACAGTAACAAGGCAGAAGATTTCAACAAAACAGTAGCAAGGCAGAAAATTTGAACAAAACAGTAGAAAGGCCTTATTTCTGGCAAACCATTCACTGGAGTTTATAAAAATATCTACCAGAAGCGACCCGCCGAACTGTTTACTAAAGAAAAAGAATATTAAAGAAACGTAAAACACTTAAATCTAATTTTTGAATTAAAATTTCAACTATTCCTTATACAAATTGCAAAATTTTAAATGCCCAAATTGGGATCATTTTCCTAAGATTCCTATTTGTTGTTAGCCTATTCTAGCCTTGCATACGGTGGCTGCGCCCGCAGTACGAGCGCCAGTCAAAACTGAGCTGGCCCACAGAAACGACACGATCTGATAGCCTTTTTCTTCGTAGCCAACAAAAATAAAAATAATTCTAACGTTGCTTTTGTCTTTCAGAATACATAACAAGGGAATTCTGGACCTAATTTGGAAGAGGGTAATTTTTGTTTTCCGCCAATACCTATGATACACTAATTTTGCTAGTTTTTACGCAGTGTGCCATCGCACAGGCAGTCAGCACCATGAACGCACAATTTGGACAGTCTTCGATTTAAAATCCTCAATTTGATGATTTCATTTCCGGAGGTGTCAGCTCAAAGGTAAGGCGCTGACAATCATATATAAGCACTTTGTGCAGAACCCAAGAGTAACGGACTTGGCTTGTCTACAAGGTTAGACATAAATGTTCATGGGCCTTCTATTCGCGTCATAAACCTCACTAAAATGAAATCAAGCCTTGCTAAGTGGTGTGAAGTGATTAATATTATGAGTATTGTACTTCGTATTACTAATCCATCGCAAGTGGCCCCCTTTCCCCTTCCCCACAAAATATTCCCCGTTTGAAACTGTCTCAATATTTTGCCGATGCCCATGACACCCGTACAAGTTTGGGCGGAGATAGCATCTCGGGTACAAGCGTGTCTTGCCAAAGAACGCAACACAGAAATACAAGATAAGCCTGACCTAACTGTCAGTATGTCAATACGCCCTCCCAAGTCTCCACAAGAGAAAAATATGACCTGTTTTAACAAAAACACGGACAGATTTTCGCTTTTATATGGTGAGTTTGTTTTGACCTGTGGTGTTTCAGATTTGTTTGCAATTGTCCTATTAGCGTGTGGTGTGACTCAGCCTGTGAATCAATTCAATAAGCAAACTTTGTTTTCTATGTCTGTGGCCTTCAACTTTTACAATAAGATCAATAGTTCATAATCAATTTGAATTCTTCCATAAGCGAACGACGAAAATGACTTTGTGTTTTCCGACCTTTCACAGCCTTCGATTACAATGACTTTTAATTCGTAGTTCATTAGACGAAATAGGAAGACTTACAAACTTTCAATATGTTATTATACAAAAAAAATTTGAGTAATAAGGTTTGGAGGAATTTCTCTATGAAACAATCTATGTCGAAGGACGCGTGCACCAATTCAAAACTGAAATCTTGCAATGGTTTACTTTCTAGATCATAAAATTAAAATCTTGCAATGATTTACCTTCTAAATCAGCGCAGGACATGAAAACATTTCCCCTACAGAGAAAAGGGCTGATGTGCTTCTTGAAGGGAATCAAGGTGTTCCGCCATTTTGAATTCTGACTGGAGCTTAAAAGTTTCCGAACCGGTAGCGACTGCGAGCGTCTGTTAACGCCAAACGTTACCCATTGTCCGTAACACTTTTATCTGACCCCTACACACTTAAAACAAACGGCTCTGAACAGGGTTGCCGGGGAAACAAAAGCCCAAGTTACCATGTGACAAGGTTGGTTCTATGCATCAATATGCATGAGAAAACATTGAAAGCGCTACCGTGAAGTCACCGGTACCGTGTGATGAATTTAACATGAACCTAGCAAAGCGGGAAAGCGGGGCAGGAGTATTCAATTTGTGGCAGAAGCTTTCGAAAAGCAATCTTGGTTTTATCCTTGTAGTACAGGGTTAGAATTTTTCTTCAAGTGATTTGCTGGAGTAATTTGGGCGATGCTGCCATTAAATCGGTGTTAGAAGTTTTTGGACATTTGAAATACGCTTTGTTCTTGATCGGTAAGTGATTGTCATCTTTTGAGGGAAATTTCTGTCTGTTCTCTGTAGAATCAGCTACTTTTCAGTCAAGCACGTCGTTAGAATTTAGTCAATTTTTGTGATAATACCGACGGTCGAAAATTGGTATAGAAATTATTTTCTTCGGAAATGTGACTTTCACTTTAAATTAAATTCGACATAGCTTCCCTCGCTCTTCCCAGTGAACCTTTAGTCTGTGATTTTTATTTTTATTTTTTAGACTCTAGTTTCATTTCTTTTCACTTACACACTGTTAGTTGTAAGTTTATAAATTGAAAGTTTTAATTCCATTTAACTGATCCTCGAAAATATTCCTCGCTTCTCCATGATCACCAGTGATCTTTTGACTTAAATTCATAACTTGTTCCTTTTATTCCCATGGCAGGTAATTGAAGATGTCGCCTTGGTCTTGTGTTATTCTTGCTTTTTTATTCATATTTGCTGCTTGCCGAGCTGAAGCTGCCTTTGACAAAGGTAAAGCCAACGTCCGCGCATCGTCAAAATGCGAAATGTAACTACAAGAAGACAAAAACGGGAAAGGCTAAAAGTATTATAAGTTTTAGATTTTCTTGACACTTCATTTAACGCTTGATCAGAATTTTTTTCCCGATTTTCTCGTCATTTATCTTTTGTGGTAATAATTTATCTTGTTGGGCGGTGGTTGTCTGAGATGTGTCTTACAGCGATGAAAATATCAGAACCCAACTGGGTGATAAACATAACTTCCGAACATGTCTAACCAGG